CGTTTCCAGCTAAGCCGAAAGGGGTGGACAGTGCGCAGAACCCGCCCCCCACTTTTCGCGGCGAAGCAGAAGCCGCCGGTTGCTCGCGCAAGCCTTCATCCCCTCCGTCGTGTACGGAAGATCGCCACCCCCGAACGGACTTAAACATAGCACAGTAGCTCGCGAGCACCCCATCTGGAAGGGGCTCTCCGCGCAACTCGTGCGACGCAAAAAAGAGAGAGAGAGAGGGTGAGCAGGGAAGAAGGAAAGAAAGAAAGAAAAACGGAAACACGGAAAATAACGAAAAAAAGAAAGTTCAGTCTGTAAGTGTGCACGCATAGAAATACGTGGAACGAACGAACGAGTTTTTCGCCGAGCACGCGTGGCCAATGCGTGAACACGCGCGCGCGCGCGTGCGTATTACGTCGGTGCGTGCACGATCGCGTCGGGACGAATTGTCAAGGCCGTGTCTGGGACGCGAAGATCACGGGGAATCACGAGTGTGCTCGATCGAAGGAGAGGATCGCCGTTGAGCCGACGACCGAACACCGACTGGAGATCATCGGAGTAATCGTTGCGACTGGAATGGAACGGGTAGTCCCAGGATTCGGGGCGATGGCCATCGACGGCCCTCCGCAAAGCTCAGGTGAAGTTTCTAGAATGGGCAGTCCCTTAGGCTTTCTGTGAGTGCGCACGGTTAAAAACAAAAAAGAAATCGAAAAACAAAAGCTGTAGACACGTTGCCGTTCGAAGAGAAACGGGCTCGGCTGGTCCGAGATCGTTTGGAAACACTGAGAGAGCCGGCGAGCCCTCGTGCTACAAAGCTCGATACTGTCGTTAGATCGCGGTCGTCCGTTGACCGACGACCGTTGCACCCGTAAAACAAAAACAAAAAAAAACAAATCACAAACCGTCACCGCCATCCGTGATGAGGGAGCAGATTTCCTGATCCTCTGGAATTTTTGTGTTCCAGGGTGGAACTGACCAGCGTGCCGGGTGGCCAGAATGCGATGGCTCATCTCAAAAAACGGAAGCTGGAAGCGGAATCCGTCAACCCGAATCCTAAGCAACCACTGCAGCAACAGCAGCAGCTACAGCAACAACAACAACAACCGCAGCCGTTTCAGCAACCGTTGAACAACAAGAAGGGTGCGCAACCGACCGTGCTGCAAGAGATGGAGACAGCTGATGCTGCCGCGAAACGCCGGAGGAAAAGTGTGCGCGATGACGAGACCAGGAAATCGTTGGAGGTGAACGACCTAGGGAAGAACATACCGTTGCCACAAAAGAAACGCGCGTTCAACGCAGGCAACTCTGGCAGCCCGGCGAGGAAGTCAAGCAAACACTCAGAAGAGCCCGAGGACGACGAGACTCTGATCAGAGAAACGGAGGCAGCGTTGAAAAGCTTGTCCGGAAGCTGGCCAGGTCCGAGAGGTTCCTTGTACCAAAGAGGGAACTCGGACGAAGACAAGTATGAATCGAACTTCGAGAACTTGTTCGAGGAAAAGAAGGACAACCCGAAACTGTCGCCGCCCTCCATATCGAACTCGTCAACAGCCAGCAACGACGCCGGTTGTTCCCTAAAGGACGTGATCACGTTCCGTGGTCAACAGGATCGAAACACCAAATCGCAACAGCAACTGAAGCAACAGGACTTTAATAAGCTTCAACAGCACTCGATAAAAGCAAAAAAGGACTTGGATAGTTTCATAAAAACGGAGATCGAGTGTGCGAACATTCAAGGACAAGTGAACAACGTGATCCCGAACGAACCGGGCAAAATCCGACCAGTTCCGGTAAGATCTTTGTCGAGCAAAGAACGGAACGACAGGAGCCTCGTCGGTAGCCACGTGGACCCCCAAGGTCGGCAAACGGACAAGTATTCTAGATACGATCCGCCGGACTTCAACGAATTGGTGGACGACTCATCGAACGAGCTGGAGATCGACATGTCAGATCCGACCGCCGATAAAGAGGACGCTGACAGAGATAAGATGAACGACAGGGACAGAGATCGGACGTGCAGAAACGGTCAGTCACCCCAGAACGCGGCTAGGCAACATCAGCAGCATCAACTCTACTCGAACTACCATAGGCAATACAACGAAGGGAACATGAAAGTACTGCCAAACGCCGCAACGACCCCATCCTCGTCGTCGCCCCCGACGAATTCTCCGTTCTCAGCGACGTCAGCGTTCAGGCCGCCGAATACGGACCATTCGAAGGGCACCGGTCGCGGCACGCCGTCAGTGGCCGTGCCATCCGCAGCAATTCCACCTATCGGTCCATACCCGGCAGCCGCCACGTTCGTCGGTTACCCGACGCCCGGACCAGGGCCCACGATGCCGACACCACAGCCGGTGACGGGCATATCGACCGCGGCAGAGGATAAACATTCCTCAACAGTCTCTCTGCTGCAATTGAAATCGCCGAAGGAAGAAGCCCATCACACGGCTAGACGCGAGGTTGTTCCCAGCTCGGTACCCGGGAGTAAAAGTCCCACGGGCCCGTTGCCGGCGGTGACGAGTCCAGACTCGTCTAAGCAATATACGATCCTGCAACCGGCTGGATTGGGCTCTCGAGCTGCCAGCGCGATTCAAGACATAGCCAGAGAAGGGGTGGTCAGTGTCACCGCCGTAACGAATTGTAACCCCGCGAACGGTGGCAACTCGACGAACGGAACTAACGGGAGTAACAATAGTAACGGTAGTAGCTGTAACGGTAACGTAGCCGCGAAGACCGTGAGCAATAATAACAGTGGTGGCGCGAGCAACGTTAACGCGAACCCGACCAGTAGCGGGAACGGTGGCAATGTGACCAGCATCAGCATTAGCATCACCGCCGTCTCGACCAGCACCACCACGTCTAGCAGCACGACCAGTGGCGACGCATTGACCGGAAGTGGAACGGGTCAACAAGAGAATGTCATGAAAATGCCGGAGAGGCTTGGCGGCTTTGACACTGGGAGCAGGTCCGGAATGTCCATGTCCACGTCCAGTCTCAGCAGAGGTGAGAATTCCAATGTCTTATCGTATGAGCCCCGACGACGTTCCTGGAATCTCAACTAGGCGTTTCGCGCCCGTGCGTTTCGGGAAACACACCCGCGCAAAACGGCCCGTGTAAAGTGATTCCGGGGATTCGACGGCAGTGCGCGCGCGAGTCCCTCGAATATATATTCGACTCGCGTCTCCCGTCGAGACTTTAACGACAGCAAATACAGGCTGCCTTTTAAACCGGTCGTCCCCGGATTCGGCTCGGTTCTCCTCGAATGTAAATAGAGAATAGTTTAAGAAATTCGTGGAGACATTGATAAGGGCCGCGCTAGCTGCGGTAGGGTTACCGTTCAACGCGTTGTCCCTTGCGAGAGGGGGATGAAGGCATTTTCGACTCTCCCACGTGCTCTGCTCTTCTTTTGTCTCCCTTTCTCTGTACGTACCTGCTTCCTCCTCTCCCTCGTTCTGATGATCGCTGTCACTCTCTCTTTCTCTAGCTCGCTCTCTCTTACTTTCTCTATGAAGTTAGGGCAGTTAGGGTAGCACGGAAAATCAATAATTACGAAGCGAGGGGCGATGACTCAAATGGTGAAATCAAGGTCTCTCAAAGTAAAGTTATTCTCCATATCCTCCGCTATAGCTGCTTTGCCCTCATCTTTGTCGTCGCTTCGAAACTATTCACTTGATCGCGGAACGACACTGTGTATGCAACACGGTGCAGTGACTCGATGGGAACGACCAATTAACGGTCGGTTTTTATATCGAGTCTCTTTCAACCTTCGTTGGAATTTTGTCACTTTTCCTTGTTTTGTATGATATTCGATACTTTCGAGGTTTTGTGATTGAAAAATATTTTTAGCTCTTAAACGCGTTACACAATGTATTGGTCGTCGTTAGTTCATTTAAAAATTTTCCTCTTTCTTTATTGTCCGATGGGACGAACAAATTGACACTTTTGCAATTGTTCACACACTTAATATCACCAACATTATAAATTTAAATCATTATTAGGCTACAGGTGTTGCTCAGTTCATTGGCAACATGAAATAAAACAGTAAATTGAAGATAAAAATAAAAATTTCATACACATCTGACTGTACATTAAAATATGCTACACATGCGCCAGATTCGCGATTCAATGATGATCACAAAATTCAGTGGACTATAAATGAAAAATGTATTGATTGCTAATGACAATTTTTTAGAAATTGAAAGGAAAGGATAACAGAAGTATCAGAAGAAATGCCTCGTATATCGGCGGGGAATGCGTTGCGCGGTGTGACAGGTGGGAGTTCGAGTGCATTCCAGGGTCTTAGGGCAGCGACGACACGATGTGCTTAGGCGGGGAAATTTGGGGTTGATACCACGTCATACGTATAAGCCGCAGCTGTCAGCAGCTAGAAACGTGACTAGCATCCCAGCCGCACCACGCTACCTTATTACCACCGTGCGGCTCTGCTGCCTGTCCTCATTATCCCCTTAGCGTTTTCTCCGGCTGAACCTGCGGAGATGAACATTCCTGAAGTGAATTGGCGCGGATAGACGCGTGGAGGGAACACTGTAACAGTATTCTTCGACGATCTTAAAACACCGGAGTAATATTCCGAAGTGATTTAAAGCGTGTATACAAAGTATACAACCTGACAGGACGATACTTCAAACTCAATACTTCCGAAACTGTCAATAGCACGATATTCTCATATAGCGATACAAAATCCGCTATAACTATTTCTCAATAAAATCCATAATAACATTTCCTTGATAAGCAAACAAACAAGAAACTTCAGTCGTGAACATTTATTTCCAAAGCTTTCATATCGTACCGTACAAAATCCTCTCAAGCAGCAATAAGAAAAACTCGGGGCCCTTAAATCCACGTATAGAAGTATTCGCCATTAAAACTGTATAATGATAATCCTCCGATGATTACGCAAACTGAAACTCGTATTATCCTGATTTATTTTCGAGAATTTTCTGCGTCGAGCTGTCAATCTCTCCGCGGCGCGGTCGATTATTAAAAGATCTCGAGACTGAGATTAGCGGGGGAGTAATCCACCACCACGGAAATCTCAGCGAATAAACGCAGGCCCGCGATAAGTGGGCACGATTAATCGCATACTTACAAGCGTGACGGCGGTACAGGCCTGGCCGGACCCGGGCGGAGCCCGTAGTTTTAATCGGCGGGCTCGTTCGCCTCCGTCGTTCGCGCCGCGCGCGCTACGCTCCGCTCCTGATCCTTTCGATTTAGCCCGTCGGTTCGCGTGCAACGCGCGATTCCCTTCCTCTTCCCCTCGCCCCTCTATCCAACCGTCCGTGCGCTGTTTTTTATTTTCCGTTTCTGTTCAACGCCAGCGCGAACACAGCGGCCGCGTAAGAGCGTGTTGACACGCCATAAAACCGCTATCGGGAAATCCGTCGGCCGCAAACACCACCCTTTCCGCGTTGAAACCGTGCGGCAGGCAGGGTTGGCCTGGCTAATAAAAAAATAAACTGCCCTGTAACTCAATTTTACGCTGCCTTTGCGACCGCACGCATAAAAAGGACCTTTACTCGCGCGCAGGGGCTTCTACCCTCGCGTTAAGGGCGCGCGCCGCCCCGTGTAAATACGTGCCTCGTGATTGTTCCCTGAGCCGCTTACTCTTTTTTTTTAGAATCCTTCGTCTACCGGCTGTCCAAGTCCGAGGCGCGTCCACTTCGCGAGCAATTTGGATATCGTCGTTTCCTTACGAACGTTCTTCCTGCTTCAGCGAATGCACTGCTCGCAAAATGTCTTCAATTAGATATTAGCAGTTTAGGCTGAATCACTTTTGACGTCTGGTTAATTTTTGGCGGTCTGAAGAAATTTTAAGTCTTTGCGATATCGGGACGTACGTAGGAAGACTTCAAATGGGAATAAATGGATACTGATATTAGCTAATAATCATTAAACAATACATTGCTGTGTCCTTTATTCATCATTTTACAGAGTGATTAAGTAATTTTATATCAAACATCTTCGCACAACAGTGCATGAAAGTATTGACAAAGGGGTGATGAAGATTTACTACTCGCATATTTCTTGGCTAATTATAAAGAAGCACGCGGGAGACCGTATGGGATGATTAAAATAAACGCGATTCTCTTCTTTTAACTCTTTTAGAAACAATATCGCTCGGAACCCTCGTTTCAATCGTCGGTGTTTCCTTCGCGCGAGTTTCTTCGTTTTCGATGCGCGGGTAACGTCGAAACGATGATGCAAGAAACGGAAGGAAGAGGGAATGACAGGAAAAAGGCGGAAGAACTCGGCACGCGTCGGGTGGTGACCACCGAGAACTGAATGAATAAAACAATCCTGGTGTTTATGTACACCTCTGGCCCTCCCGTGGTGACCCTCACGTGAAATGGCAACAAAATAACACAATTACACACTCGGCCACGGCCTCACCCTCGGTGGCCGGCACTCATCCCCGTTCTCGCCCCTCGGATCCGGTTTTTCCTCTTTTCCCTCTGACCCTCTCTCCGGCGAACGGTGTCCGCCACGGGTTCCCGTAGGGAAAAGAGACGAGGACGACTAGCGGGCCAGCCGGCCTGGTCGCTGACGAGAAGCAGGGAGAACGGAGAGGTCCGAACCAACCGACTCGTTACAAGTCTATTCAGAGATCCGGAAAGAACAGCGCGTGCCGGTATTCATTTTGTTGACCGGAACCATTATCTGCCCCTTCGCTCTTTTTTCCCTCTCTTCGGCCGAGCTTAGGCAGCCGGTCGCCCGTTTTAAAACCTTACGGCTAATTTATTAATCCCGCCGGCACAGTGGCCGACCGCGCTCGCCCTCACTTAGCCGGCTCGCCATCCTCTTCCTTCCTTTTTTCACCTTGCCGCTAATTAAAAAGCTGGAATCCCGGTATCGTTCTTTCACCGAACACACGGATCGTTTCTTATTCCTTTTTGTTCGTACCTCGCGCGATGATCTTTGGAATCACGTCGTGTTTAAGTTTTAACGGGAGAGCAGATGTTCTTTGGGTTTGTATATTGTGTATGGGAATGATGTAAAGTATGTGAATTTTAGTACGTGGCATTGCAGGTTAGTTTATTGATTCGTTTATCGATTATGGAAGCAATGCGGTGTTTAAAGTGCGGTAAAGTGAATATATTGGAACAAGTGGTGTGAGATAGTAGTCAAACATCGTTTTGGTGATGTATTGTTGGAATAAAAAATAGGTGAATACGTTGGAATGATGCATAAATATCAAAACCCTGATATTCTGAGCAAGCACCTTTATCACTTTCATAACTGTAAAATATAAAAGCAAAGACTAGCTACCTTAACACATATGGAACTAGCATTTTTAGCACTCAACGTCCTAACTTTTAATGTTCACGAATTTTTCTGCCTATAAAGACGTCTATTATTTAGTAAACATGTTACTTTAATTCATTAATATTTAAAAAACCAAGAATCATTTATTTACGACAATAATGAAGCAATACATTTTTGTCATTTGGCTACTAGTAATAGTTCGTAAAATGACGAATTATCATTCGGTTGAATACATGTTGAAAGGTTGAGCAGTTCTAACCTTTAACCATATATTGTTGATTGATAAATAACAAAACCGACTAGGACGAATTTTATTCGCCGCCCACGGTTCAGGCCGATAATCCCGTTTAGCCGTGTTTACGGGCTCGCGATCTTTATCTTGCGTATTAAGTCGCTTCATCCCTCGTGAGATCAGTTCGATGTTTCTCGATATGAAAGACACGGCTCGAACGACGCATAGGTAGGTTCGTCACGTGTGTTACAGGGGTTTCGATGTGGGACATCGATGAAGGAACCCAAAGGAGGTTGGGGCGAGGCTTTAGGTTGGAGGGAGGGGTTCCTCCGGAGCGAGCACACTTTTATAAACTTTGTCGTGTACTAATCCTCCTTTGGCCCTGATCCCTCCAGCCAACTAAGGCCAACCTCGGAACGGTGACCAGGATGATGCCGGGAAACTTCATCAGGCCGTCATTTCGCGTTCCAGAAGGCGAACCCGGCGAGGGAACCGATTCGATCCCTGCTTAGACGCCCGCCTCCTCTCTTAAGGCCGGTCCACCTTCCGTAAATTGGATTACGATACGTGACGTCATTAGCGACATACTTTATTCGGTGAACCGAAGGAACACAGGGGAACCGGCAGCTGTGACGAGCTATCAGGCTATCGGGCGTTAATACGACGAAAAATTACGGAATCTCGATTTCTTCTTTGAAATCGGATGCCTTTAACCTCATGCAATATTGACTCTGACTCGTGAGGAAGTTCTCAAAAGGAAGTTAAAGAAATTAAATGTGGCTGAATTATTTTGAGTATAAATGAAATACTATTTTTTTTATTATTAATTGTTATCCTCTGAAATAAAGGTAGATATAGATGAATTGAACATTGTTTTGCTCTTTGTTAAGCCATTGGTGACAAAGTTATCTTAGCGAGTACAGTTATGGAAGAAATTGTAGGACAAGGGGTTAAACTTCCGCTTGGAGGATTATAAAGTTTCTATTCTATACCGTTATTCGTGTTTTATAGATAATCGTTTGAAAGCAAGATTATTTCAGTCACACATAGCAATCGATGTGTTAACACTGTACGAGTGAAACGTAGGTTATAGATATGTTTTGCAATTAATGTCTTGCATGTATGTTCCTGCCTTTATATGAATATTCCACAGGAATATCGACAAAAGCGTATGCATGTTATACCCGTGCCGACATAAGGAATAGTAGCGGAAACTAGGTGTCATTTGTCGTTTTCACGTAACAAATGGTGAATTAATACGATATCTGTGCCTATACAGCATATTGAACTCCACAATTACCGCGGGAATCGTTTTAAAGTTAAAAGTTTGATATTTCTTCTTTTGAAATTGAAATTTTCCAAAACTGGGGTTATCTGGCTCGTAAGTAGAATGTTGGAAACCGTGAAAAAAGTTCAGTATCGTTGAAGAGTGTTATAAGTGAGTGTTAAGTTGCTAGCAACGACGAAACTCCTTACAAAGAAGCAGTTGATCGTGTCCTATAATATAACGACTAGAATTATAATTCTCACTGGACACAGTGCACCGATGTAAGATCTAATCACGATGGCATAAAGGAAGAAAAATAATTATACGCGAGATCTGGTCGAAATCAACATGGAGGTAGAAACGAAGGGCCGGCTAGATGGTCTCATCCGAAGCCGATTGGTACTTCTGGGCTACGTACAGGGTGCTGGAAACCTATAATTGCCTCGTCACGCGAGGTCAGCCTGAGAACACGAACACGATCGTACGTGACGTGCACCGTATAAGCCATTAAGTTGCTGCATACACGGCAGATGGTGCAGGCTGCTTGAGCATGTCCCCGATGCAATTTCGTGACGGTCGCAAGAACGCGAGGGGCTCGGGAAAAAAATTGGACAGAATTTTTCGAAAGTTCCGACACTTAAATTGAATCGGCGCGTTCAACGCGGTGCGCAACGTGTTATTACCGTTAATTCCCACGGTCGTATTCGCTGTTTAATCTGAACGGAGTTTGATGCATTTGAAAATTCATATATTTTTACGTTCAGTAGGCGATAGAGAGATTTCATGTGTTATATTTGGGAATATTTTATTCGGCAATTATTTTTTAAAATTAATAAGGAACCTTACCTTCTTGAATTCGCGTCGCACTATTTTATATTTTTCTAATTGTACATTTTTCAATATTTTCATGTATTGATACAAAAAATAGTTACTCCTATGGACAATTTCGTTTCATTACAATAGTAATAATGGGGATAGTTCCCTGTGTTACAGAGATGTTGAGGCCGATCGAGAGAGAGTGTTAATCTCTGTGGCTTAGTTACGAGATAGGGAAATCCCAGCGGTTACTCGCAAATTCGTAACTCCTGCAAGAAAATACAAGGTAGCCATATACAGATATTTTCATCCTCTTGACTAACGTATTAGTTTCCATAGTGTTTTTAAGACCATCGACCCGGAATGAATTTTAATATAGTTTAAAATACAATATTTTAAATAATCAATAAAAATTCTACTATGACTAAGCTTAGTAATTAAGACAATTAAAAATACAAATTCTCGCATGATTATTAATAAACGACAAACACTGTGCAACCTTGAGCAATGTGCCCAGTGGAAACAGGCAACATATTCAGACATGGGAAGTGTTAGCTTTTCTATGCCTGCTTTTCTGGTACAATTTTATATAAGTATCATTTATACGTAATATTTATAAGTAGTATTAATACGTATCAATCGTGCGACGAGGAAGCATCACCCGACAGACATTTTATTTTTCTCAATTTTTCCGGTCGCAATATCCGCGTTTATTAGTGGTATATTTCAGATTTCAATTTTTCGGGTTTGTCTGACGGTCAAAGGGAAAGTGGGCATCGGAATGTGTTGCGCACGCTGCAGCAACCGGTATTACAAAGACCAGGACACCCATAACAACATTTTCCCGCGTATCGGACCGCTGTCACGCGTTCCAGACGACAATTCAGCCGAGATTCCGATACGATGCGCGGATACGTATTTTACTCACAATCAAACCGGCTTGTCGCGGTCATTAAATTCAGCTGGGAAACGACGAGGCCGCCGGGGAGGACGTCCAGGCTGCAGTTTACTCGATATTACAATTACGGGACGCATAATTGATAATAATTAAAGAGCACAATATGACCGATTTAAACTCCGGCGTTGACTGAATCAGAACTGGCACGCTTTATTGTCGACTACTCGCATCGGACAGCGACAAATACTCCGGAAATAAACGGGCCGGGCTTTTAGTTTAAATTAAATGGCTTGAAATTAATGAGATCGATGTTGTAGCTCGATCTGAGCTGAAACGGTTCGTGTTAACAATCTGAAACGGTGAATGGAATCAAAGCGGGAAAAGAGCTTCTCTTTCGCGCCTATTTATATACCTGCATGAATGACATTCACTCGAACTGAAAAGGGAACAATTTTCATTAGCAGAGTAACAAGTAATTGTAGAGTATCATATAAATTGTTCGTACGAATCACTTTGATTGTGTATTTTATCGTGCAACAAGTTTTCGAAGATTTTCAAAGATTTTATAATTGCAGAAAAAGTTCCTCTTTTTTCAAATTCGAATCAAAACTGTTGTTTCATTTTATCTTTTATCCTGGAGACTTTTATAATCTATAAACGTATGCTGTTGGAACGTAGAGGAATAAAATATGATCTTCTCATTGTGGTATCGTAATTGACGTTATAATTGCGTTAAAGATATATTTGTTCGTAGGGGATAGCAATTGGCCATACGAGATCTAACCGATTGTCGTGATTTGATTTGTTACAGAGGGCAACAAGTGCCCGACCCCAGGCTGCACGGGGCAGGGTCACGTGACCGGGCTCTACTCTCACCACCGCAGGTAAGCAATTATCGGTAATTAACCTGCGCTCTGCACTTTGCCCTGGTCGATTAGACACCTACGCGCTACGAGGGAAACACCGAGCCGAACCGTGTGTGAATCGTTACTGAAACTAACGAAACGATTTCGCACATCGAGTCATCACCGAATTGAATTATAATTCATGCAGACGGTTTTGCGATAGACATCGATGGAGCCTAAAAACATTCGTTCCTTTATACATAGATACTCTAAAAATATGAACACATTCTTCCAATTTCTTTACAGTACAAAATCAATAGAAAGGTTGCGTTATTTCATTGCGTTAATTACGATATTACTAAACAACACAAGACTGTAAATTTATAACCACAACGTTTTATTACATTTTTTAATGTCGTTTTACAAATATTTTATAGAATATTACATAATGATCCCATTTTCTAAACAAGGGGTCAAATTATATAAGCGTCTCAAATCATGAAAATGAAGATCCTTTTATAGTTATTAAAGTACATGAAATTTTCAAACTACGAAACTTGCCCGATTAATAAGATTATATTCACAACACTCTTTGTTAGTCACAAGTCACGAAAGGACTTTATCATTGTTTATTACTGTGATTCCAGCCTCTCCGGTTGTCCACGAAAGGATGAACTGACGCCAGAAAGTAAGTAACCAGCAACGAGATCATTGTTACTTATCGTAGTGACCTAGATGCATCTTCTTTTTGCGAAATTGCCTTTTATACGCGACAGGGCAAGGAAGTAGTGAGCGAGCGAGCGAGCAAGCGAGCGCTAATCATAGTTCAGTATTCCCTCTCTATTTCTTCGCTTTTTAAACTTCTTTATATCGTATCCTATACATATCCCAAATCTGTTTCACAGAATTGATTCGCCAACCTATTCAAACGTTTCCAAAATGATGTCCACCGTTCTTTACAATCACTTTGCCAGTCCTAAACCGCGTAAGTATAGCGAGGGAATACTGTATTAATTTTTGTTATCTTTCTAACAAGCTAAAAACTTTCAACGTTATTTCTTTCCGATCGATTCATACATCTTAATAGACATTCGTAGCATAACGCGTTCGCTGTTACTAAAACTTCATTTTCCATCTTCAAGAGCGGTATGTTTTTCTTATCTTTTCATTCAAGCACTCACTTTCGTTATCACGTATTATTTTACCGCACTATTTGACGAACATCAATAACTGTGTCTAATCGATACCATAAAAATTAACATGAGGCACGAATGCAAGACGATTAATCGATGAAAACCCTGATAATTGGAAATAATTGAAACACTGATCGGAACAACGTACATGCGATAGTGGCAGCGAAGGTGTTAACGCGATTTTCGTTTTTGCTCGAGTTCATTTTTAGGTTTGAGTGAGTTCTAAAGCTTCCTCGCTTCCGGTCGATACACAGCCACGCGACGCAACGAAACGGAAAGAAAAGAAAATAACCGAAAATATCTGATTCATCATGACGTGAATTGGTACGAACCGGCGTTAATCGCCCGGCCACTATGTGTGTCTATGTGTTTGTCTGTTACATTCTTTGTGCTTTTCGTTTGCGGGGTAGAGAGCTTTATTTATTGCGTTCATTTCCGTTTTTGATTTACCGTTATGTTCCGTTACCGTAGCTACTCATTATTAAGTAGAGAATTATCACCACACTATCGTACTCGGCTACGTTGGCACGGACGTGCCCACGAACATCTGGAGAACTCGAGACACGGGCGGTACGGCCGCCAGCCGGTAGACGCGTGACGCGCGCACGCCGGAACCGAACAGAGGATTTCTGCGATTGAGTATAATTAAACGGGCCGATCACACACTCCTGCGCGCACGGTCCGCGAGACATACGGATCTTGCAAACATATTGGACCATGAGGCACACGAGAACTGGCGTTACAGAAACATCAAACCGATACCTAAGTTTCCGAAGGTTCCTCTCTTCCTCTATCATTGGGAACTCTACACGGGATTCTTAATATCTTTTCTCATTGACATTTGAAAGAATCCTTCTTGAAAGAGTTCCGTATATTTATACTTATAAACCCTCATGTTTTCTCATGTATAATATACGATTTAATATAGTGATAATATTCAGATATTGTTGTAAAGAAATTAAATCGCAAGAATTTGTTCTGATAGAGATTCAAAAAATTTGGAAACAGTAGTGCGATTCAAAGAACATTGCAATTTAACAATGATTAAGTTGATAAGGAACTTGCGTTCCATTACATTGACTGCTGAACCAACGCTTATGAGGAATTCCGTAAAATTCAAGTAATTTAAATTATAAGCAGAATAGGATCACGTAACAACCATATGTGACTGAGGCGGCAGTGAACGTGTCATATGCGGTGTCCGAACTCTACCAACATCTGTCCCAACACAGAACACAACCCGGCCACAGTATACACCAACTGCAAGTTGTTGTCTTATAATTTTTCACTGGATTGATTATGTCTTTACTTGAGTTTCTCTCTACCCGCTCGGTATACTTAATTGTTCTGTTCTACACATTAATTTTGTATCTCAACCCGTGACGTTGTTGTATCCCATCTCGTCTTTCTTTCTCTTTCTTTCTCTTTCTTTCTCTTTCTTTCACTCTTCTTCTTCTTCTTCTCTCTCTCTCTCTCTCTCTCTCTCTCTCTCTCTCTCTCTCTCTCTCTCTCTCTTTCTCTTTCTCTATCTTTATTTTTCCTCCATTACGTTTTCCCATAGTTCTTCTCCAGTCCATACTGTCACACAACACGCGCGGTTACCTGTTGGAACGAGCAATCAGAAGCATCGAACGCGAACGATCGCACGTAATAATTATACTCAACGCATCGAAACAATGATTATTAAACGACTGTAGTTAACAAAGCAGTTTAAAGAAAAATGAATAAGAAAAGAGTGAAAGCTGAATCCTTCGGTTCGTCTCGATGTGCGTGTGGATGTGACTTGACGATAGCGACTTGCGCCTCACGGAACTGTCTCCCTTTTTTTTATCCTGTAACCACGCCACGTGTCTCTGGGTTCTCGCAGTTCTGGCGATGCATGAGACTATTTTGAAATGCCCGACGCCTGGCTGCAACGGCCGTGGCCATGTCAACTCGAAACGGAACACGCACAGGAGCCTGTCCGGATGTCCCTATGCTAGTAAGCAGGCCGCACGCGAGGCGCGACACAAGGCTCAAGGTAAGGCGGCGCGGCCCGTGCGGCCCTCCAACGTGCCTTGAATTTCGTCCCGCGCGTATATCCGCGCGCGGGCTCGACCCCACGCGAGATCGGATCGGGGAGCTTAAGCTCTCCGAGCCAGCGGGAGGCTAATCCGTCGCGGGACGTGGATCGTTTCGTGGCCAGTTCTCGCGTTCACGCGAACCAGATTTTCCTCCTATTTTTATTCCCCGATAACGATCGTAGATGTGACATTCTTTGCAGCGCGGCCTCGGGATCGATGTCTGAAAACTTCTTGTTAACCCTTTGCGCTTTGGGATTATTCTAATGTTCCCTCCCATCGCCGAGACGATCGACTCTAGATTCGCTGGCTTTGATTGCGTTGCCGCGCGAACACGCATTGCTTTGGAGATCGTAATTGCAGTGAGGTTTTCTGGATACGGTAGATGAAAAGTTCACAATTTTCAATTATTAACACGTTCATGGACTGAATATAAGTTGAATGCGTTTCCTGTTCTAAGTTGTCGGCTTGATTCGTTTGTATTCGCAACGCAGTTATATTTATCTTGATAGAAATAATTTGTTAAATACTGGTTGTGAAGATAGCGTTGCAGATACAGAAATCCGTGGAGTGTAATTTTGTTCAAAGCAATTTTTCTCTGTTTGTATATTATTTGTAAATATCTGTTAATCGCACGAATAAAATCATCATATATATTTAGCTGATGTCGTGATCAATGTGTCAAAGGAGAAAATTCAGGTAGCGTGAGATTGCCGAAGAATCTTACTATTCGGATGGTTCCGACGCGGTGACTTCAATGCTGGCGGTAACTCTCGCCCAGTTTCTATTTGGAGTACAGAATTCACTACGATGTTCAAACATAATTCAAAGTAATCTTAACCAAAGAATGTCAGTCGCAAATGTCCTTCACGTTGTCTGAACGATCAATTATACTTCTTCACGATTAAATTACGTATTATACTGTATACGCTACGTAGTTGCAACGTCAACGTCACTTTCAAACGAATGCATAACAGACACACCACAACGGTAACAGTAACAACATTCCACAAGCAACGCACATAGAAAATAAACCTCATGTTCTCGAAACAGTGTCCGGAAATCCGCCAGAGTACATCAGCACGACCCTGCTGCCGCCGTCAATGGACAGCAAGAGCTACCAATACGGATCCACGGCGCAGGACACGAAGCCGGTACTGAACAGCCTGACCTACGACTATTATACGACAACGAAGGGCACGGGGATCAACATAAAACCGCCGAAAACGCCAGAGGAGAGCCCCGCGTCCCGCACCACTAAAGTGGTCCCAAAGACCGAGAACATGACGCCAAGCGGCAGTTGCTGCAACACGTTGCCGGCCAGAGGGCAGACCACATCGGATTTATTGGTACCTAAAACGGAGGACACCGGTTCCTGTCGGGTGAACTCGCCTCCGCCGCCGCCTCCACCCACCGTACGACCCACCTACGACTCGTACATGAACCAAGACTCGAACTCCTCGTCATTGTCCTCGATGGACGCCATGGGGTCCAGGGGATCCATCGGTGTCACGATACATCATCCGAGTCAGCACCCAACGCACCACGTGCTACCGATGCAGCCTACGGTCGCCTATCCGATGCCGATGGTAGAGGACACGAGGATGAGTCATCAGATGTCCCAGAGATCTCCTTATGAATCGTCCGCGATGATGGCGGCGGCGGCTGCAGCGGCCGCTGCTACCACCAGCGAGGAGCTCTATCATCACAGGTCGGCGGAACACGCGAGGGCGTATATGCACCCCGGCGCGAGCAACATACCGAGGCCGGTCGTGTCTTATTCTAATGAAATCGCTACCGCGAGAGGTTACGAAAACGCCGTGGTTAGCGCCGCTAACCATCGGCCTTACGATCCTGGTACCACGTCCGCCTACGAACGGTACGACACCCAGGGTTGCCCGCCGATTCCCTCGCAACAGCAACAGCAGCAGCAGCAACAGCAGCAACAACAGCAGCAGCAACAGCAACTGCACTCCAGGACGAACATGTATTACCTTGGGCAGACCGGAATGACGCCGGAGGAACAGGAACGGGTGTATCATCAGGAAGCCGCGGCCGCAGCGCAGCAACATCAAATGGCGATGGCTGCTGCCACGGCTGTTGGGATGATGAAGACCGAGGATGGTAAAAACTTTGTGATGTGTTTTAGATGTTACGGAGTTCGTAGGATTGATTATCAGTAGATTAATAGAATTGTTTTTCTCTGTATGAGTTTAAAGTTTTTGTTCAAATACCTGAATGTTTGATTTATTATACAAGGATAAAAACAATTTATAACACCACTGATCTTTATTGAATCTGTTACAGTGAAATGTGTGACAGTAGCGCAAGTTCAGCAGATGCAAAAGCCTGGTGGTCCTCCAACTTCACCAGGGGGCTCAGTGATGGACTTGTCGACTTCCAGCGTCACGTCAACGAGTCCACAGGTGGGTCTGCGTTCTGTGAATTCTCAACATTCATGAAGCGAATCTAACAGCTAGAAGATTTAAGAAAATGTTGTTACTGTTTACAGGCACCACCGTACGGCTCCAACAGTTTAAGCCCACAATATGGTGGCGGCCAAACCGTAGGCGGCAGTCCTCAAGCGGCAGCGAGTCCGCATTTGACGGCAAGTCCGCAGGTTCCGAGTCCGCAGGGTCAGACCCTGGATCTCAGCGTCAACAGGCTTCATAGGTAAACCGTAAATCCTATTAACCATCTGTATAAATAACGCAGAGAAAATTGTTTGAAAATACCAATGTTTAGTACACGACGTTCAATGAGTACCATACAATTATAAGAAACTTAATCTCTTAACATTTTAATTTGTATAAACTTATTTCTTTATTATAAGAAACGTCATTTTCATAAATTCATTCTTTCATGTGGAAAAACGTATTGTAATAAAACGTCTCCGCAATTGTGAAACGTAATACTTCAACGGTGGCTGCAGGAAGAAGTATTAAGCTGTACATCACGTTTATCCGATTACAGCGGAGCACCTAGTCCCCAGTATCCGACTGGCCACGGCGAAGCGGTTGCGGTGCCAGTTGGACCTGGATTCCCAGCGCCACGACCAATCGAGGAGCAAACCGAGCCTGTCGACTTCTCAACGGCGAACGAGCCAGTCAATTTCAGCGGGGGGCCGGGAATCAGGCCTGTACCAGGTTTCCCACCGCCCGGAGTGCACGTCGCAGCGTACAGTCGAGAGAGCACCCCCGACAGTGGCGGTTCCCACTACATGGACGCCTACCGTGATCCCACCGGTGAGCCATCACTGTTTATCGCTTAACTTGCCAGACAACTCATCATCCATCTACCGGCAACGCTTTATGACCCGCGACTGTTCTCCGCTTCCTATCGTGAGCATTCATCTTTGGCCAGTAGTTGTCAGTTTCCTTGTCGTTTAACACGTCGAGGGGTATCGGCGAGCCGCTAGAAACTTTCTTCTCAGTTTGTTTTGATAATTTGCTTAAAAAAGAATCGCTACGTGTCTTTTTAACTGTAAAAGAGTTTTGTCATTCGAATTATCTTCAGAATACTCTAAAAGACACAAGATTTGATCTCATAGTCGGTTAGTCGCATGTATCATTTAGAGAATACATAATAATCTTTTTATTTAGGATTAATGAATGTTCAAATGTTTCGTGTTTGCATTCTTCGATTTTACCGATCCTATAATCCAAACAGGTCGAGAGAAAAATGAAATTTCTTAAAATTCTTACGTTTCGGACTAACGTATTCATTTGTAATATTTTCGAAATTGGAACTCTCTAATTTTGTCTACCTAAAAATAAGACGCGTTAGAATAAAGAGTATCCCCATATCCTCGAGTCCCAATCGTTCGGGTCCAAGGGGACCGAGGATGTGTTAAACACTAAACAGAGACGCTCGAACTGAATTACAGGAACGAGCGTCGGGTCGCGCGTACGACTACAGGGGCAGAACAATGTGTTCATGGTGTTCTAAATTTCATCGGTTGTGCATGCGCGAAACACACACGAAGAGTTTAGCATGTCGCTACATTGGCGACGTGTAACGGTGAACGATATTGGGGGACGCGAGGGGGTGGTTGCAAGCGAGGAGACCTGCGAATGAGGGATACGAAAGAGGACAAAGAGCCCGACGCCCTCAGGGGTTCGGCAGGGGGTGCAGCGTAGGTCTAGAAAGAGAGAAACGGTCGGGAGAATGAAAGAGAGAGGGAGAAAGGCAGAGAACGATACGCGGTTACAACGGTCGAATAAAAATTCGCCAGAACAGTACATGACTGCCATAATAGGCACCTATGGCCCGACTCTCATTTTCCTCGGCCTCTCTGTGCCTTGGCATTCCAAACCTACAGCCTATTCTCCTCATCCCTATCCGTCTCTTTCACTCCTCCCATCCTCTTTCCAGCGGGCTCCCTTTCTGTGGATGTGCGCGCGTGCACCCCTTCCTAGTGGGACCATCCCCCCTGTGGCAGTACACGACCATTGTTAATTATCAATATTTCGCGTACACGTAGCCGGCAAAAGTCCGGCGCGGCCAATATTGTGCGGACTCCGACGCTGGGGAGTAGTTATTGAAATTGAAACATTCGAGCACACACGTATACGCGGGGGCCGTGTACGTTTCGTACGTTTCGTTTCGTTTCGTTTCGTTTCGTTTCGTTTCGTTCGGCGCGTCGTCGTGTCCGTTGCGACGTTGCCCGTGCGTCCGCCACGCCGCAGCCGACCGTCGGCTATTTGCACTGCGGACGAAATGAATTCTTGCCGGTAAATAAATACGTAGATTTTACAACGGTTAATCAAGCCACATTCCTGTTTTGTTACCGTTCTTTGTTCACTTCGTTATTGCACTTTCTCGCCGTACCCCTCCGCGCACGCGACGATATTAACCCTTTGACTGCAACGCGATACCACAGAAAGATCATCAGCATCTGGTTATACTCATTTTACTGAATTGGATTGCGTTCTTTAACGAAATCTCACAGTTTAGGAGCACTCTTACAGCAACTTTACGATGTTTCTTTTCAAGTATATTCTGTATATGATTTTATGTCATTTTATGTAATGTTAATTGATTTTTATTGTCGAATATGGCAGCGGGAATGTTTGTCATTAGAACTGTATCGAAGATTACTTATTCCGTATATTGTGACTGTTTGTTTGCATTAATATTCTTACTTTTTACTGTTAGGTATATTTATTTGGGATATTTCAAGATCGTTTAACTAAATCATGTGATGAGTAGGAATATGTTTTAAACTCATAATAGGTACGGATTAAAGTATTTACATAAGTTATTGTACTAATCACACGTTAAATCACTTTTGTTTTTAGGGTACGGACCAATGAGCCCGCATCCAGGATACGGTATGACGGGTGTTCAGCCGGAATACCCTGGAAACACTTACACCCCCTACCCCACCGCAGGTTACAATTGCGGAACTTATCCCGGTGGGCCTGTGACTTCCGGTTACCAAATCCCAACAGGATACACGCCGACACCATGCTATAGTATGCCACCACCGCAACACACGGTTGGACCTCTCGATAAACCCACCGGTAAAGACGATAGGTAAGGAACACAATTACTTATTTTTCTATAAATCATAGTCGGGCGATTGGCAAAAAAAATGACGTTTCCGGTTCATCAGAATCTCGACGTTTCGTAAAGCGTTCGAATTGCTTTAGATCATTTGTTACTTAGTATTTAAAGGTAATTCTTGTTCTACGAAAGTTAAAACATTACTGTCACGAGATTTTATTAAACGAAGGTTTGTTAGGGACACTCGTGAGTCATGTACCATCCTGAGAAGGAAACGAAAAATGTCTTTCCGTTTCTATAGACCCTTCGATATTTACAATGCTAAAAATTTGATTTTTACTTCTGCTGATAGTCTTGTCTATATAAAAAAGACACGATAATTATTCAAAAGCCTTTAACACCTTCATTAACTTTCTACGTCTGCATTCTTTGCATCTGATTCTTGTTAAAATCCTCCAACCTAACGTACGAAAGCAAAAAACTGTTATTAGCTATTGGACTTAACATAAAACATATGTTACTTAAAACACTATTAAAAATGTTCACATAACATTTTCGTGATTCAAATGAATATTACAAATCAATGATTCCAAGAGAAGGCAAAAAATACTTAAAAGGGTGTCCCTAAGATTCTCAAACTCGATAGACGTGAAAGAAGAAGAGACAACGGAGTGACAGTGAAACGTAACGTGCGTTCATTCTGATGGATCTCACGGTGGCCAATGAGCCGGAAAAACGTCCACGAGTAATGCGCGTGCATGCGAGCATCGCGGATTTGGTACTTGCCTTGCGGAAAGGGTCGTGCGAATCTCTCTCGCGGTACACTCGCGGCCGAGAAGGGCACGTAGGCGAACGTCGGCGCAGAGGGAGGGGGTCGTAGGTCGCGCATACCTACCTCCATTTTGTTAATTAAAGTAATTACTCTTCGTACCGAAAGTGCCAACCTTATTCTAATTGACGTAAAGCTTGGGCGGCACGATGGAGAAGGCGCGCGACGCGGCGCGGCGGTTCGGCGCGGCGCATAAGGCGAGGAGGTGGAACGAGGGTATGGGAGGCGGTGAGCTGCCGAGGGTGGATAAGGTCGACAGGGGAGGGTGGGGTATAATCAGTTGCCACCGCACTGGATTATGGGGCAAGACCCCGTTGCCCCGTCGAGGTTAGAACCCTGAAATGCACCTCAGATACCTCCGGCGAAACTGCTCTCGTCTTCTTTTTCGTTCTTCTTCTAATCTTCGCCCAACCCTGACTTCAACCCTTCCGATTAGACCGCGTCCCCCAAAGATTTGCGGAAAACGCGGATTTTATCCATAAAGGATTATGGCCAGGGAATTTAGGTCATTTTTGGGAGAAAAGAAAATGCAAGGTAATCATAAAACTTATAACTTTGATTTAAAAGTTTATTTCCTTTGTTAGAAGTTCTATTAAGGTTTCAATAAGATTCATAAAATATACATACACGAAAATGAAGGTTACTTTTCCATAAAAGAATGTTTAAAAACGGTTGATTTTCCATTCACTCATACACTAAGATCAAAATTTGCTATTTTCATTTCTACTAATTACGTAACTTTCGTTGCTTCCAATTCTCATTTTGATGACGAAAAAGTACTTTATAGAGAGTCAGATATTTTACGGAAGACACATACTTGAGGATAATCGTTTCATTAGAACTAAATAAATGCCCCGACCCTCCCCCGGGTCAGCAATAAACTGCGGAGTAGTGCAATAGACAACGAAGAATCAGGGGTCGAACAGCATGACTTATCATTTATCCGAAGGCAGAGGAAAGCGGTTAGACGGAGGTTGGGAAAATACGAGAAGGTACAACATCCGGGAGTATACCGGTGAATTGCACTCAAGTCCGCATCCGTCGGCTCGCTTGCCCGGCAATATCGTGGCCACTCAAGGGCCATCGAGGTTTTCGAGGCTTCTCATAGCCGGCGGTAGTTCGTTCATCTACGAGACCACGAGGAGACGAGAAAAAAGCAGAAGCAAACTGCTTTCGGACTGATACGGGCGTATATTCCTTCCACCTCCGCGCCTCCTCCTACACCTCTCCCTCCTCCTCACGCTACGCCTCTTCCCGCTCTTTCTCCACCGGCCGGAACTTTTCAGATTTTTTTTCTCTCATATGTCGCTATCACGCCCGCCATCATACACGGTTCCCCTCCCTCTTACCGTGGAGTAAGGAAAAGTTGCGGGGCGCAATAAAACTTTCCGTTGCTATCTCGTTCTCTAACGATGCGATGCGATGAGATGCGATGCGATGCGATGCGGCCACGTTCGTACGATGGATAACTCTCAGATGTAATAAAGTCCCCGTGCAATGATGAGATGAGAAAGAAAATGAAGAAGAAAGATGGAACGATTAATCGTCACCCATCGAGCGATCGTTAAACATCGTCTATCGCGGGCCAGTTGATTTGTACGATGTGCATGTGTTTAATTGCGATGTACGATGTGTTTAATGGTATCGACAGTGTACCTCTTGAAGTATCGAAGATAAGAGATTAATCTTTAGGAAATTTTTTTATTTCATTATCTTGAGGTATGTAATGGATAAGTTTCTTTTTGATTCGTGAAAGATTAGTTCCGTTTTATCAATAAATCTGTACACCCAATATCTTGAAAATCATTCAACATCAAGTATAGTCTATATGAATTGTCGATTATGGTTTCACGAAACACCATGTTTACGCCTTCGATACTTTGAAAAATATTCGTTTGTTACCTTTGAACGCACACACATTGCGCACATCACGAGACGTTTCCTAAGCAGGCATGTAAGAGACGAGCAATCGCGTTTTCAAGTCTGTTTCATTGTATGATAATATTGTTCGATGCAGTACGAATATGAGGCGCCACTCGTTCAATTTCGCGCCTCGGCCCGCCCCTCGTGGTCGCGATGGCAAGGAGCTGATACAGTGCCCCACGTCGTCCTGTGATGGCATGGGTCATGTCTCGGGAAACTACGCTACCCACAGAAGGCAAGGCAGCATTGGCAATTGACACTGACAATATACATGAACGACGACATCAGACTATTATGTATATTTCTATATTGGTATAGCGATGCAGCACGCACGCACGCTGAACATGAACACACAGACACACGTACACACATTATACTCAACAATCACACGTACGCGTGCATACAGACAACACGTTTCTATGCGTGGACACAGGGACACACTCCTAATTAGCTCCCCTGTCACTGTTCGGTCCAAACGCAGATAATCCTGACGTAGTATATACTTGATTCTCGTTTGCGAGAAACTCGTTTTAGCCTTTACAAAACCGTGCGCAACGAACCGTATCACACGTGGACATGCCGTAACACACGTACCTTTACATCAGTCGCATTTGTCACTGAGAATTACGAGATACATAGATGGGTTTATTTGCATCAATGCATATTGGTGGTTCCGTGGTGTAGTGGCTTCTTAAGTGTTTTGTGACACTGACCATTTGTCTAGAATATCCCCCACCCCCGTCCCACGACTTATCTCCACCTCCCAGCTAAGCCAGTCTTGTACTACCTTACTCGATATTGTTGCATATATCTACATATATTGTAATATGCGTGTAAAATACCTGTTGGTATAATTAGCGATGTAAACGTTTCCAATATTATTTCCCTTCCGTTTGGTTCTCACTTTTCCTCTGTTCTTACTTTCCGTTCACGGTCTGCCAATCTTTTCTACCGTTTTTAATATTTGTGTATCTTGTTTGAATACGTACCCCTCTCACGCTCACCCATACACCTCCACCCGCCCCTCGTAATGCGTTATTTATCGTTCGATGTACAGGGTGTGTCACGTAAAATGAGGGATTTAATTATTTTCTCCAGTAACGACGGCGTGAAACTTGTTTCGTGTGCAGTTTGGATAGCAAACGCAATAGGACAAACTTTGTACAAATAGTATTCTTTTGAAGATCACTCGTGTTTCTCTATATAAATTCATTAATTTTATTTTCCTATATTGTTAAAGATTAGAATGAAATGTAAGATTTATTCTGAAGCGAAATATGAAAACAGGAAGTTTATGAAGAATGACATGCAACTATAGAAAGGTTCTTCATTTCTACATTTTACCATCGGAAACAAAACCTAAGAACCCTTTTATAATTATTAAAAACGGTACTACAAAAAATGGACGTCATTTTTTTCAATTCAACTTCATCAGTTCAGAAATTCTCACTTAAAAGACAGCATTAGAAGAACCCACTGTAGATACTTGGAATATTGGAAGGTCACATTCAAAATGATACTAAATATAGCTACATTACGTTCCTCGCGTCTTAAACGTATTGAAGCATTCTTACAATTTAGTCAACGTTCAAATTAACCAAATGAAACAAAAGTGTCAAATTTCATACGAAACATTTTTCGCGGTGCCAGTGAAGACAATTAATCGTCCTGTTTTATGCGGTACACCTTGTATTATATCAAAGTGTGTAGATGAGTTTCGTGTTGAATGAAGTACCATATTTGCTCCCTGTTTCGACCCGACCCCTACGAAAAGGGATGGCAAAATCATTGCAGAAGCAAGACCGTGATGGCCGAGACGCGTCTAAGATGCTTCCACCAGTCTGTCTTTGATTCGATGGCGTTCGATATTCGTTTTCATGCGCATCATATTAGCATTGTTATTCTATTTATATAATATGTATACGAATCTCACCAAACCCGCCCGTTTAAAAACCGCTTCGCCAGCCTCGAGTGGGCAGCTTCGTAGCGAACTGTTGTCAATGACCATGTCAGAGCAGAGCCGCTAAACTGACGAGGAAAAAAAACCGAGCAAGAGAAAAAAAAACGGTCTGTCACATCTCCGACCAGACCGGATAGTCATCGCATACATAATATACGCGATCAACGCGTGTTCACTTGTCGACTCGAGAACGCAGAGACATATGAAAACAATTGGCAATTGACGAGTTTCACTGGGGTCAGGTGTGAGTGTGCTCCCTGCTCTCCCCTTCAGTGTTCCTAGAATAAGGCTGACCTTGTATTGACACGAACCCGTGAACGCGATACCATCCGATCGAACGAGCGACACCTCATGAGTGATCCAACTGGAACACGGCGTTGCCATTTGCATGCTATCATATATTTATATATAATTAATTTTCATATATATATATATATATATACATCGTTAATTGCCCGTTTCGACTGTGCGACTAACATTCACCCGACCCAACTGGGGTAGCCTTTTTTTCCGCGGTCGAAGACTCTTTCTCAGTTCGGTCATTCGTATTGCTCGAGAGAGACTAAATAGTTTATACTTGAACGTGAGTCTTAAGCCTTCCTTGTTCAATGTCTTCGTTCGAACTGGACGCAAGGCAAGTCGTCCAAGAATTAAAGCTGTGTAGAAGGCTGCCTTCTGAATGTGAATACTTGATGTGTGAGCAACCCGGGTGTAGACGATCTCGGTGCGCCAAACTGTCTGCCTGTCGTTCACACGAATGACATTTTTTCAATATGAATTATTTCCTTTTGCGACTCAACGATAGACAATTTGATAGACTCGTCGAGATCCTCTTCGACACCGGGCGACGGACGTAAGTACACGAGACTTCTTGGCAACGTCGCGTAAATTGCATGCGATGTGTTGCTGAAGCCACCGTTGGATGTTTCTGAGGTGTGCGTTCGTGGCTCTGACCATGGGGATTGTTGCGCTACTGATCGATTCCACATGGCCACACGGCGATCGGTAGTTTCCTTGAACAAACGAACGAGTAGCGCAGAATCGTCATGGTATAATTGGAACGAGTTTGAACAGCGGTGCGTTTTGTTTTCGTTTACAGCCTCTCTGGTTGTCCGCGGGCCGATCGTTCGCAGATCCAAGCGCATTCGCAGGAACTGAAATGTCCGACACCAGGCTGTGATGGGTCAGGACACGTGACCGGCAACTATTCCTCTCACAGAAGTTTATCCGGTTGTCCACGGGCTAACAAACCGAAGAGCAAGCCGCGAGATGGACAAGACTCTGAGCCATTGAGGTCTGTCTTTAAAGATATAAAACAATCCCTTTTTGATCTTCATTCACTTTCCCGACTACATTTCCCGTTAGACCAATTTCTAAACCCCTGTGAACGTCTTCGAGAAAATCCTCCGGGACTTATCTGAAATCAGCGCAATCGACTCGGCCAGATCTTATCGCGGACAGCGTAGAATTAATCGACGGAGATACCAGACACTCGCAAACTCTGTAACTTGTTGTATCACTAGTAATCGCGATCTCAATTTGCGCTTTCACCGCGTTTCGCACGTCGCACGTAGCTACGCGGTTATCGTCCCGGCCGCATTGCGCGCACCAAAATCCGACAGAGGGTCGAAAAGGGACGCCGCGAACCCTTTCGCCGACCGTATCCCTTAACCCCGCCAGTTTCCTAATGCAAAGACGAAGACGCTGACTAATAACTAGCGGTTTCCGCTCGTTTCATGCTCGCTCTGCGCGGATGGATTTGTATGGTGTTGGTAATGGTGGTGTTGGGTTTACGAACTACAGATGTCCAATACCCGGTTGCGACGGGTCTGGCCACGCCACTGGCAAATTCTTGTCCCATCGCAGGTAAGTTTCAGTCATTTTCTCCTGGAAGAAACAAGTCTGCATTAAAATATTCGTTGGAAAATGCTAGACACTCTTCTATTCGTCCAAATTATTTTACTTTTCCTTTCAGTAAAATTCGATAGTCTATTACGAAATCTGTTTCCTCTTCCCGATTCTTGTTACGTTCTTCGTTAATCCCATTTTCGTTGACCCTGATCATTGTGCTTCATGGAAACCATCGGAGTATTATCATTTTATTCAAGACTTCAATCTTGAGTAAAATATATTCTGCAATATACCCTTCCTAACGTGAACACCATTTGTCTAGCCCTTTTATTGTTGAACCCTAATTTGTTTCTTTTATTGAAATAAGGAGATCTCAATGAAATTTCACAGTGAAAAATCCTGCGATGAAAGAGTTAGCTGTAGCAACGGTGTATTACAACGTCTAGTCAGCAATGTTAACTTCGACGATTCTTGTTGCAGCGCTTCTGGCTGCCCAATCGCGAACAGGAATAAGATGCGAGTATTGGAGTCAGGTGGTACAGTGGAGCAGCACAAAGCAGCCGTCGCTGCGGCGACAGCGATGAAATTCGAAGGCGTGAATTGCCCGACGCCCGGCTGCGATGGAATCGGCCATATAAACGGTTCGTTCTCGACGCACAGGTCCCTATCCGGCTGCCCCATCGCCGGACACGCGGTGAAGAAACCGAAGTTCGAGGACATGCCGAGCATGTACAGCAAAGGAATCGCCGGTGAGGATCAAGCTGCTTCCGATGTGCTCGATGTCTTCGATTATATCGATGCCTGGCCGCTGTTAATCGAAGAATAAGAGGGAAAACCGTATCGTTTATCGGTGACGACTCCGCGTGAAGCAAGTCGATGAACCCGGAAATTGAATGAGATCGAATTAGGTGCATGCGAATCGGAGAGTCGATTCACGCCCGTCGATCGTGCCGATCTCGCGACATGTGATTGCCTTCCGTGACGAAGTGTCGTGCAAATACGAAATATGTGTCGCGGTAGGCATGACCATCCGAGTTTGCCTTTTATTCTTTCCCGTACGCATCCATTATCGTAACTCGCACTCGAACGCGTATACGAATCGATGCTTGGATCGGATTCGAGTTCGAACGAACTGCCGTGATACCGTGTTGACCATTTTGTATGTGTCGGCCGTGAACCTTTATCTGTATACTTTGTGCATATATGATACCCGTACTTGATCCCGTGCTAACGCCATACTCTACTCTTCACGCAATGATGTGCTGTCATACCAACAAGAGTAACCTCCCCCCTCTCCTCTTCCTTCTCAAATTCCACATCCCATCGATTTCTGTCCGCCTGTATATTCAGTTGATTTCGTTACTTGTCGTTTTCTTTTTTACTTGAGTGTCACGTTCAGTTCTCGACTCCCCCGTTTTCTTCTATGAGATGCTAGTGTCCAAGTGTTGTCGAACCAATAAGTACAGAGACGAAACAAGCGTCATTCCTATCAAGACACACCTGAACTGGACGTACCCGTCATCCGATCGTGTCACAGAGCTGGGTAAAATCTAGTAAGAAGAATATCATGACTGGCGTTTCGAATGGTAGATCATGCACAGTTCTGATAAAATGATGTTTTTAATGAGAAATGGCATTTCAGTGAATACATATCGATTTTACTCGTTTGAAGTGTAGAATAAGATATTTGAAATTTATATTTCATACGTGTATTTCGCATATATCTTGTTGGTAATAATAGATTGAAGGGACATATGGTACTATAATGCTAAGAACTATAATGCTCGACAATGTAAATTTATTTTTTAATGCTCGTGTAATAAAGTACAACGTTCTCATCATTTATGTTGCTTCAGTTTTAAAATCTATTTAGATTAGACTGTTTTTGATTATTCTAATCTAAACACTATTCATTATGTACAATTACCAATAATATTTTACCCAGCACTGGCGTGTCACTACTACCTCCTATACTTGCGAATTCTGCCCTTCTCCACGATCACTACCACCACTGCCGACTCCTTCGCGAAC